GTGAGACGTTGTTGTACGCTGTGAGACGTTGTTGTACGCTGTGAGACATTGTTGTACGCTGTGTGTGTCTCAGCAGCAGAACAATATAGAGGCTTTATGTTCAGGCAGTGATCTTGTGGTGCAATAAAACAAAAACAGGATTATTGTGTTTTTCACTTCTCCTGTTCGTTGTGTGTTTGTGTGTCTCACATGTTTCAGGTTCCTTAGAGCAGCAAACTTTATGAAACCGTTGTTTTTTTTTTTTTAAACCAATTATTCAGGTTTTTGGAAGATTTTACATTAAAACTAGAACAAACTTTCCTTTGGTCCATTTAAAAAAAACAAAAAACACTTTTTACCTGAAGCAACGAGTGTCATGTGACTGATCCTCTTAAACTTCTGTTTCATCTTGGTCTTTACAGAAAATTAAAGTTAAAATAAATAAATAAATTGTCAGATTACCGTTCTTCTTTCCGGACTAATTAAGGACAAGGAAACAATTGTTCTTGTTTAGTCTCAAGACTGTTTATGGTAATAAAACTCCTAAAAACTTGGAAAAAAACAGAATATTTTCTTTGTAGAGTTAGAAAAACACATCTGGCACATTTTAGCTTCTAATGCTGTCACTGTTTTGGTGTGTGCTGTAAAAAGTCAAACTATTTTATTATTAACCTTTATTTAACCTTTATTTAACCTTTACTTATCTTTTATTTAATCAGGCAAATCCCACTGAGATCACAGATCTCTTGCAGGGGAGGCCTGAATCAGCCTAACATGCATGTTTTTGGTCTGTGGGAGGAAACCCGTGTACCCAGAGAAAACCCAAGCATGCACGGAGAGAACATGCAAACTCCACATAGAAAGACCCCGGGTCCAACCAGGGATTGAACCCAGGACCTTCTTGCTGTGAGGCAACAGTGCTAACCACTGAGCCATCGTGCTGCCAAAGCTATTGACACAAATGACTGTTTCCATTACAGACTGTATTTTGTGTAAATGTTGGGTTTTAAGGTGGAAAAGTTTTAGCGTACTTTTAATGTTAGCATGGCGTGTGCTGCGTTACAGAGATGTAGCTGCAGCACATCTATGGTGTCATCCAGCTCATCCCACAATGTCCGGGGGTCTCACCACCATCGTCTGGTTCTGACACTTTGTCTTCTGTTCTCACCGCCTTCACGTTCGAATCAAACCCACAGCAGCAACGTAAACGTGGCTCTCTTCCAGGGCCATGTTTGTGGAACGAGCGATGAGTAGAAAATATCGGGTCTTGTATCGTTGGCATCATGAGACCGGACACAGAACGCAACCGGGAACACTGCACACATCGTTGGTCTTTCACACCATCAAACTATACGCATCAGCAAGCGCATGGCATCATCATCTTCATTTTTACAAGAAACGTCTGAGAGAACACGAAGCCACGAACACGAGCTGCACCGTAAAAAAGACGAGCAACGGAAAGAACTGCTGCAGTAAAAAGCACCCGAGTCCGCCACAGTACAGCGGTGGTGCAGACACAGCGTTACAGCATCATTTTAGGATAACTGCTCTGAAACTTGTGTTTTATGACATAAGTTTGATGCTACAAAGTTATTTATGATGCAGAGTTTTAATGTGACCAATAACACAAACTGGCCTGGATGGAGACAGCAGGGTGTCCAGATGTTATCACAGCTACTCCTTTTACTGATCCTCTCGCTCAGGGTTGTACATCCAGTCCTGGTCCTGGAGGGACCCCGTCCTGCATGTTTTACCTGTTCCTTCATTCAACCGTTGGGTCACCTCTTCTTCAGTCACTCAAGGATGCAGATCAGGTGTGCTGGGACAGAGAGGCGTCTAAAGCGTGCAGGACAGTGGCCATCCAGGACCAGGACTGGACGGACACCCAGCACCCTGCAGAGGATCAGAAACGTAAAAGGCGGCTCTGCGATGTTATTACAGCCACACATCTCCGTGCACTGCACATATATATGTGTGTATATATATGTGTATATATATATGTGTATATATATACACATATATATACACACACATATATATACACATATATATGTGTATATATATGTGTATATATATACACATATATATATACACACATATATATATACACATATATATGTGTATATATATGTGT